CTCTTGACACGCCGTATAAACACCCTCTAGGCCAAGCATATCAACAAGGGAGCCATGCCGCAGCCAGACGACGCAGCTTCCCAGCACTCGAGCGAGGGGTCGCTGAAGGAGAGACGCCCGTCCCTTACCGACTCCGATGCTGATACGGTATGTTTAGCGTCATCCCACAACCACAACAACACATGACATGGCAAGTCAAGAACTAATAAATAGTGTAGGCTGCTGAGCAGGATGCTTTCGAAGACGCCGTGGACGCCGCCTCCGTACGATCCCTGACCAAGAGATCTGTATCTAGCTCGAAACCTCAACCTCCCCCGCCGGAGGCGGATGCTACCAAATCCGATGCTGATAGCGACAGTGAGGAAGAGGAAGAAGAAGAGGAGGCCAATTCAGTCAAGAGCGAGGAAAAGCCAGAACCGCCCTCACGTGGCTCATCGCCAGTGTCACATCGCATCTCCAACATCTCCAACACATCAAATCTCGATGTTGTCAATTTGGACGATGATGCTGCCCCACAACACCAGGGTACACCTCTCTCACCGTCTTCACAACTTTTTTTTTGCTTACATGTTGCTAATTGCCTCGGCAGACCCCGCGAGCCCCTCTGACAAGGACCAGTTGAGCAGAACAACCTCTCTAAACAATACTACTGCCGCTGCACAACCTTCGTCGCCGGACAAGAGCTTGCCGCCCATTCCCACCGCCTCGACCGCTACTCCAGCAGCAGCACCACCCGCTGCGGCTCCCACGCCCGCCCCTGCACCGGTAGGCAGGAGACTGACCAGCCCGTTCTCTTGGCTGTCTAGGAACTCTAGTAAAGACAAAGACGTCAATTCGACTTTAACCACCCAGCCATCTGCCCGCAGAAACACTGCTAGCTCCGTCGGTACTGTGGGTAGCAACCCTGAAATGATGTTGAGCAAGCTTGAGGAAGAAAGAGAGGGCGATGGCAAGGCATCCAACCGGAATAGCCTCAAAGATCGATTCAAGGTGCTTCGGATGCAGCAGGAATCTGGTGCTCCTCTTACCATAAACACCGAGGACATCCCGGACGAAACCGCCGAGGGTGAAGCGCTGCCGGCAGCTGACTTGCCTCCCAAATCCCCCTTGCCCCCTCCAAATGCAAGCTTGGCGCCTGGAACGGCAGTCGGCATCAGCGTTGGCCCCTCAGAGACGGCGACGTCACAAGTTGATTGGGACCTTTGGCAATCAGTCGTTTATGAAGGTCCCGCTGCTGTTGCACGGTCGAGTGCCGAGGAGTTGAACAAAGCTATTGCCACTGGTATTCCCAGTGCCATTCGCGGCGTCATTTGGCAAGTGCTGGCACAGAGCAAGAGTGAGGACTTGGAGGGAGTTTACAGGGACCTCCTAGCTAGGGGAACGGAGAAAGAAAACAGGAATCGGCACAGCAGCAGCACAGCAGCAAGCAGCTTTAGCAATGCCAATCTCAGTGTTCAGAGCGGTGACGGAGTAGCGTCATCTGCGTCATCTGTTAACTCTGAACAGTCGGGTGGCTCAGGTGTCAAGGGTGACAAGAAAGAGGATAAGAATGCCGAGGCCATCGCCAAGGCCCAGGCTGCGGCTGTGGCAGAGAGGATGCGCAAAGAGAAAGAAGACATTGCCTCCATTCAGAGGCTGGAGAAGGTCATCCGTCGTGACCTCGGTGCCCGCACCAGTTATTCTAAATATGCAGCAGCCGCGGGACTTCAGGAGGGTCTCTTCGGCGTTTGCAAGGCGTATGCTCTCTTTGACGAAGGTGTTGGCTATGCTCAGGGCATGAACTTCTTAATTATGCCCCTGCTGTTCAACATGCCGGAGCAGGAGGCATTCTGCCTACTTGTCCGCCTGATGAACCATTACGGCCTGCGGGACCTCTTTATCCATGATATGCCTGGACTTCATCGACACTTGTATCAGTTTGAGCGGCTGCTGGAAGACCTTGAGCCTGCCTTGTATTGTCACCTTCACCGGAGGGGCATCTCTCCCCATCTATACGCGACACCGTGGTTCCTCACGCTGTTCGCCTACCGTTTCCCCCTCCAACTTGTCCTGAGAATTTACGACTTGATTCTTTCAGAAGGCCTTTCTGCTATTATTCGATTTGGTATCGTTCTGATGCAGAAAAATACCGCAACCCTGCTGGAGATTTCTGACATGCAGCAACTCACAACATATCTAAAAGATAAGCTATTTGATGTCTACATCGACAAGGACCCTAGCCAAGGAAGTCTCTTGGAGAATGGCTTCTTTGGCAGCTCCAGCTCAAGCATTGACAAGGAGATTTACAGAGCAGATCAGCTGGTGAGGGATGCCTGCGAAATCAAGCTCTCCGCGGAGCTTCTTGAAGGATACACTGCAGAGTGGGAAGAAAAGACAAAGGCCGAAAAGGAGCGGGAAACCGAAGTCAAGGAACTCCGAACAAACAATCAGAGCCTCACAATCAAAGTTCGAAAGCTGGAGGAGAGAGTTGAGGTTGCTGATCGCGAGCAAGCTGACCTTGCTACGGAACTCGTCCACACAAAGGTTGAGAATGACGAACTGAAGGATGAGGTTGAGGCCCTCAGGAACCAAGTTCAAGAGCTCAAGAAGGTGATTGAGAACCAACCATTGGAGATTGAGGAAACTTGGAAGCTTGAGCGCGATGACTTGATGAAGCGTAATGAAAAGGTTCATTTGGAGAACGAGAAAGTTGAAAAGGAGTTGGCTGAGCTGGAAGAGGAGTTGGTCCAGACAAAGCTGCGATATGCCGAGGTAAGTTTAGACCGGCACCCTTGGATCCAAAAAGACAACGAAGAAAAATAACTAACTGTATCTGTCAGATTGCTGGTCAACACGAGACCCTGAGCCGGAAGTGGACTGAGTTGAAGCGCCAGTTTGTCTAGGGCTCCCGTTCTCCTTAAAAATTGCAATGCTATCACCACATTCCACTATTCTTACACTCCCTACTTCCTCCCTCCCTCTTCTTGTTCTCGCATCATGACCACATCATGATTCTGTGAGAATCCAATTCGCCATCATGACTACCATATTCCCCCTTCCTTTTGATATCACCCCATTTTTCGCTGTTAAAAAAAGTTTGTTTTTGTAAGGAGTTTTCTTTCTTCTTCTTTTAGTGGTTCGATCAGTAGCACATATGCCCAGCCATGTTTTAACTGGCTGGTGATGAGATGAAGGACTTTGGGGGAAATAGCATTCACGCGCTAGCAGGATTATGACATGCATGTTTTTATTTCCTCTTTTTAGGACAGACTTTTGCAGTGATACGGAGGGAAAATATGGATGTTTTATCAACAATGAGAATAGATGGACTCCACCGGTGCAGCTGCTAAATACTACTAGTAAAATTACTTATTAAGACTCTGTGATTCCTTTTTGCTTCTGTGTAGGCGGTATTGCTATACTACATAGGTATTCGAAGGAGCTACTAAGGGCACATAGATATAACCAAGACATACAAAAAATACTACCAGTACCAGTACGAGTGTGGGTCAAGGTGGAAAGACGGTGTGTTGAATTGTTTTGTTTCTTGTATCATTATCATACTTGAATGAAACAACGTGAAAAAAGTAACATGATTGCAGAAAAGCTTTTCATTTCCCTATGGACCCGTTCCGATGCTTTGTGTGTTAAAAGCTCTTCATGCCCTGAAAATGCCCAAGATAGCAAAAAAATCCTTGAACACCATCCAACTCACGCCATTGCGAGTTTATTTGTGCAGCTTCTTCTGGTAGAAAGCCAGCTCCTCACCCTCCAGAACGTAACCGTCACAGCGGCCGGACTGGCCGGGACGGCTGGTGACAACAGCGTACAGACGACCGGCCTCGAACTGCTTCTCAACAGCGGACTCGACCTTGCCGTTGGCGGCGTAGCGAGCAGCCTGCTTCTTCTCGACGGACTTGCTCTTCTTGACCTCCTCGACCTCCTTGCCCTCCTTGGCGGCCTGGGCCTTCTGGCGTCTACGGCCGATGGGCTGGCCGTAGTGGGACTCGTACCACTGTCGGAAGGGAGCAGCGTCGATCTGGACGATGGCGCTACGGGTCAGGGTGTTGGTTCGGACCAGCTCGTTGTTGGAAGGGTGGTAGGCGACGGCAATGACACGGGTCTTGCGGGTGCAGCCCTCGGAGGCCCAGGCGAAGTTGCCGGAGTCGAGACGCAGGGCACGGTACTTGTGGTTACCACCACGAGTGCGGACGGTGTGGATTCGCTTGGCGCCGATCTTGGTGTTGGCACCCTGGCGGCCAGCCTCGAAAGCGCGCTTCTTCCCTGTTGACGGAGGTCAGAACGTATGTTCCTAAGATCATACGGGCTTTCGGAATTATTCATATATCATGGTACGCACGGTAGTAGGCGCGCTTGGCACCGGAGGCGGAGCGCTTGTGGCGAGAGTCACGAGAGATACCCATGATTGCGAGTTCTATACTCAGAGAGAAAGAGAAGAGGTATTAGCAACTCTGTATGAAATTTCTCTTAAGAGATAAGGATTTGGAAGGAAAAGGCGGTTGACCGGAGCCCCTCCAGCAGCAGCAAAGAGTAAACCTTTTGTTCGTTGTTCGCAGTCGGAGAAGAATGTCGATACGAATTGAGTTTTCTTTTAAACGCTGCTGAAGGATCTCGGCCGCAAAGACTTACCTGATGATAATGGTGCTCACCAGGGCAATCGACTTGTCGGATGTGGGAGGAATGAAACTTTTGTCGAGCTTGAAAGAGTGGAGGACTGAATTGGGTCGAAAATTGTGGTTGTGGGCTACGCTAGCCCGCGGTACGTACCTCGCCTCAGGGCTTCTTCGGGTGTGCTTTTTTCCGCACGAAATTTTTTTTGGTGTGTGGTGCGATGCACGTGACTGCGCGTTCCTCGCTAAATGGGTACGAAAGTTTTAGTACATAACGGTCGCGACTGAGGGCACTTGACGCGGAAAGTGGTAAGTTACTTAATCGTTGTGATGGCAGTCACGCTTGAGACTTCTTTATGAGAATTTTATTTTACTTTGACAATTTTCTCTACATATAACGACTTGCGAGATTTCAATACGATTCAGCGAAAGCCATGATCTGACCAGATTTCCTACATTGACAAATTTCCTGTTCCTCTTGTCCTAATAGCCAGTGTGCCGCCTCATACGTTTTTTTCGTTGCATCCTGTGAGATTCTTCTCTCCTGACCTGATTCATCATATCGAAAAGTCCAAAAGCCCTATCGAAAACCAATGACACTGCCTTCTCCTTCTCGGACGACTTTGTGACAAATACGCTCTGGTATCGCCCTTGTTGATGCCCTCTTTCTTCAAGATCCGTGCTTCTGAATATCCAATACAAAGTCTCTCATAAACCCGTTCAGATCGGCGAGCTCGAGTTGCGGCAGATCGTCCGAGTCGTCTTCGAGTGATGACGTGATGGGCGGGATGTTCCAGGATCCGGTGTTCACGGCCTTCTTCTCCTACAAGATGGTTCCGTCTGCTTTGTAGGCGTGTTCCTGCTCTCCCTCCGAGATTTTGAAAGCAGCGGCGTTGATTCGAGGAAGGGGGAGGTATCGGCCATATCTAGTACGTCTGTCGCCTTCTTCTTTCAGCTCAGCTAGCGATGGCCATTCCACACGACCGTTGACTTCAGCTATGTCTTGTTTGTTGAAGCAATTTTGGGCAGCGAACACTGGAGAAAGCCTGTCCCCCATGTCTCGTCCGTTGAACAGAGTGACCTGCGGCTTGGATACCAGTGCCAAGCCTGACGCCTTCGCCATCTCTTTTTGTCGAGTTTTTGCTTCTAGGATGCTGACCTCGTGGGCAAGCTTCTGTTGTCTGGCTTCAGCAAGAGAGATCTTGAACTTGGTCAACTCCGCCGGGGTCTTTGGAATAAAAGGTGACTGGTCGGCCTTCATGAACTGAAGGTTAAGCATCATCTTCTGAAATGCCCTGCGCTCTTTGGTTTCCGAGCTTAGCCATCTCTTGGATTGCGACCATGATGCTACCTCAGCTGGGGCTTGGTTCTGACTAGGTCTGTCAGAGGCTGGAACCCTTTTCGAGTATTTAGCTGCCGGCTTGGTGGAGGGCTGCATCGTGAAAAGCGAGGCATCTTTTTTCCAGTTCATCATTATCAATCTCTTGTCAGTGTCTAATGATATGGGGTGGTTGGGCAGAATGCTGCTTACCTGGCTGGGTTGGCTCATTTATTGCGTTGTGATGATGTTCAGAGCTGAACAGCACGTGGCGGTCGTGTTGCAGCGGCCTTTGTTGAGCTCGTTCATTTTCCTCCCCAGCTTGCGGGCCGTCAACAGCTGATGGCAAGGTGCAGTCCCAGCCAAAAGTTGGCAGCTGGCTTTCGACCCCAAAAGTCTTGTCACTAGGTATTTCGGCGAGGTGTCGGCCATCCAAGGCAACTGTCGGTTCGTCGGCGCTCTGCTCTTTGGGTCAGTTGTTGAAGTCTCAAACCGAATAACAGGCTATGAATTGGAAATTTCCAAGCCGGAAATCACGTACCAATGAATGAGTCTGCACTTGATCACTGCACGCTGGTACGTTTACCGCCTGTGTCAGCAATCTTGGATGATTAGGTCTATGCCCTGAGTATCCATGAGTTATGAGATTCATCTCCTCTTGAAGAGGATTTGGGTTCTGGTCCTGAGCTTGGAACCTAGGATTTGGCATAACGAAGGATGGTAGTGACCAATAGGTGACTTGGTAAGCAGGAGTATATATATCCGGCAACGGCTGACCCGTTGAGACATCAGTGATCTGGCAGGGTATCATGTGAAGCAATGGAATGCAAGGTCCTGGCGGCGGTGGCGGTGATGGCAACACAGGTAACACCGGAGGATGCGGATAAATGGAATAGCTACCAGATGGTAGCGGAGGGGCAACTGGGTATATGAAGAACGGGCATTGGCCCGGTGGCCTCAGTTCCAGTGCTGGCACAACCTCCGTGGAAATGAGCTGCGGACCCTGCGATTCGATAAGTTACTGATTCTCACTTTGCATGGCTGTGGGAGCGAACATTGACTGGGACAGCGCCTTCATTTGTGTCTGATGCAATCTTTCCACCGGATATGCGATACGTTTGAGGAACATTAGCCTCAAGAAGCTCTGGGGCTAGTTCGTTGCTGATGTTTGGGCCCGAGCTCGTGATGATACTGTTGCTAGCTGCAGAGCTGCCTTCTTTCTTTGTTTGATCACTTTTCAGGCCAGAAGAAGCCTTCTCCGAGGCTTCAACATTAGGCTGAGACAAAGTGATGGTATGGCCAACGGATCGATCAGAGGTTGAAGTCGTGGGACCGGATGTCTGAGATCACACGTTATTAGCAACCGCATGAACCTGTGGAACCTTGCACCCGGTCTGCGTGATAAATGAGGCGAAACAATGAGCAAAAAGGGAGCCATGAGCCCCCTGTCCTATTTCACTCGACATTACCTGGCCTCGAGATGACAGAGCATCCCCCCTTTCATATCTCGCAGTTCGTGCAGTTGAGCGAGTCTTTCTGGTACGGCGTGTAGCAAAGCTCGGTTGAGGAGAAGCAAGTGGAATGAAGGGTATCGCGGATGGGTTCATCGCGCCATTAGGGTCTCGTGTCATCTCCATGGCGTTATTGGTCCGCCGTGTAGACCAAGGAGCAAAAGAAGACGATTACACGCAAGGAACTCGGTGATGTTGAAGTCTTGATAGGGAAACCCAAGAAGAGAAAAAAAAACAGTGGAGGAACGAAGCGAGACGCGACTGGGTTTCCTGTCCCGAATCGCGTATCCGAAATATTGTTTTGATACAGCTGTATAAAAGCCAAATGCCGTTAGAATTGGAACTGGGGAATACAGCTGGCAGCTGGCAGCTGCCCTGAGATTGTCAGACGCCTGTAGGTCTGTTGTCAAACGGGTCCAATAGCTCACAGTCTTTATTATGCTGCATAGTACATGAGGTGGGTATTATTTCCTGTAATGTGTGACATCGATTTTACCTATCGTGAATAGTTCGTTGGTGTTGTTGCTTGTAGGAGAAGTGCCAAGACACGATATGAGAATACTCCAGTGTTACAAAAGAAGCAAGCAGACACAAAGGGCAAACATTGAAGTGAGAGATATAGGCGGACTGCTTTACTGTTAACTTTGATTCACTTGGCATCTTTCCAAACACAAGGCGATAACAATGACAGCTAATCTTTGGCAGACTAAGATCCGTTGGGTGGTTGATTCGGAAGCCATCACCAGATGGTGTCGTTTCGAACATTTGCAACCAAATCTGCATTCACTATAGACAGACGGATGTTTTGGTCAATCGCCGATAATCGGTGTGATTTACGGGAGATTGTGCTGTGAACTATGTGTGGATGCCTTTTCCCCCATGGCACTTATTAGGCCAGTTTTGGTGGTTGTTCATTCACTCGACTTGTTACCTGAAACAAGGGCAATCGTGGTGTAACAACAATTGAACAAGGTAAAGACAAACCATGGACCATTCGAATGCGAGAGATGAGGACAATAAGTTAATGGTATCATTCAGTTGTTTCACAGCCCCATTTATGTGTTTTCTTATTGGCGCAAAGAAGACAATGGAGTGCGATGGCGGCTGGTAGTGGATGAAGAGGTGAGGCATGATTTGAGAAACTTGATGCTTTTCAGTCCTGTACTGGCTGTTCAAGAGATGATTCCGGCTCCAGCTTACGGTTCAATCCAACATGTGATAGCCGGAGCCTAAAAAATACCCTGGCGATCTCCCTAGCAACTCTCAAATACCTAGCAAGCAGTATTGGAGCCCAGTGATGCTAATTCAATGCTACCTCTCTGACGCTGTGATTTCGCTGCTCGGCTCAAGTAACTGGTGCCGTAGCCCGCTACCGAGTCTCCCGTACCGCGTACCTCGAAGGCCGCCTCCAGACCCCACCCGCCATTCAAGTCCCGAGGAACTAACACCAAGCCGTAATTTTTTGTTGTAGCTGGTCTTTTCCCCAACGACTTGTCGTGTCTGTTCCCTTGCAACCTCGCATCGTCACCAGAGCTCTGCACGTCAAAATGGCTTCTCTAACGACTCTCAAGCTGACGAATCGCTGTAAGTCATCTATGCCATTGTCGTATTACAATCCATTGGTTTATTCCGCATGGCAAAAGCCTTACTAATTCATCTTCACCTGCATAGCTCCCAAGCAGCCCATCAAGAAGCTTCCCCCAACCATCGACCTCCCTGCCAACGCTACGGTTGAAGATGTCAAGAAGTTGATTGCGAAGCAAGCTGGCTTCAGCGACCACAACCGCATTGGCCTGTTTTACACGTCGACCAGGAAGACGCTCAAGGACCGCAGGGCTGTGATTGCAGAAGACAAGGATGTTGCCGAGGCTGGCGAAGTGCTGGTCAAGGATCTCGGTATGGATGACGACGATGCCTCTGCTTTTTGCTTTCTATAAGACCATTATGACTGACTTACATCCCACCATTTAGGCGTCCAAATCGCATGGAGAACCGTCTTCGTCGTCGAGTACCTGGGCCCCATCCTCATCCACGGCGCCGCCGTCGCCGCCCGGCCGTACCTGCTGAAGGACCCGTCCATGTCGCCAACCCAGTGGCTCAGCTTCGGCATGATCGTCGCCCATTTCGCCAAGCGCGAGCTCGAGACGCTCTTCGTCCACAAGTTTTCCGCAAACACGATGCCCGCCCGCAACATCTTCAAGAACAGCTTCTTCTACTGGGCCATCTCCGGCGCTCTCTGCGCCTGGTCCATCTACTACAGCCCCTGGTCGCTGGCCGCCCGCGCCAACGACCCCATCGTCGATGCTGTCGGCACCGCGCTCTACCTGTTTGGCGAGATTAGCAACGCCCTGGTGCACCTGTACCTGTCTACTCTGCGGTCAACTGGCGGCACCGAGCGCAAGATCCCGCACGGCTACGGCTTCTCGCTCGTCACCTGCCCCAACTACATGTACGAGGTTCTGGCGTGGGTGGGCATCATCACTGCTAGCCGTGACTGGTCTGTTGCGCTTTTCATCACCATTGGTGCCATCCAGATGTTCATCTGGGCCAAGGGCAAGGAGAGGGCATACCGCAAGGAGTTTGGCGACAAGTACAAGAAGAAGCGCTTCGTCATGCTTCCGGGACTGTTGTAAGAGGGTTTGCGCTATAGGTACATCCATGTGATCGAGCGAAAGGAGCTTGTAGTGATGCTTACTGCCGAGTATGCCGATAGAAATAGAGCCGGGTCGATAGACTGGCTTGAAGGGTATAACGAAGTAACCCGATTTCTTGCCATATGCAAACAAATTAGTCGGATAGCAATGGTTATAATATACTATTTACCTATATATGGCGTATATGTGCATCTATCTAACCATGTGGCGACATGGCTACATACCTAGTAACTGACATCTGTTCATGTACCTATCTGTGTTGATTCCATCTCTTTATCGTCGCCATACATGGAGATGGCCGAGGCATCACCCTGTCGAAATAGACGCCGTCTCGGACCCCTTTGCTCGCCCCGTGCCGGTACTCGAGTCGAGGTCCATCAAGCTTCGACTGGCATCCGACATGGCATCCACATCCATTCTCCTCTCAGCACCGTTCTCAGCACCATTGCCGGCGTTACCATTACCGCCATCACTGCCCTCGCCCTCTTCAACGTCCATGTCCGACTCACTGCCGCACTCGCTGCAGCTGCAGCTACACTGACTGCCCGCATCATCCGAGTCCTCGCCCCCGTTGGCCAGCCTCACCGTCTCCTCCAGCACGAGGAACCCGCGCTCCAGCACCTCGGCCCAGTTCTGGACGTTGCCCAGCTCTTTCACCTTCCGCGCCGCCTTGTCCGCCTCGGCTTTCAGCTTCGCTGTCTCCTTGCGCAGGCCGTCGGTGGCGCGCAGGACGTCGCGCTCCTGCTTCTCCAGCGCCGCGGCGTTCGAGTGCAGGATGCCCGCGCGGGACTGCAGCTCCGAGTCGAGCATGTTGCCGATGGAGGCGACCACGGCGGCGCGGGCCTCGGAGACGTGCCGCTGGGTTTCAGCCGAGGGCAGCGTGGGCTGTATAGCGGGATGGAGGGCGGGAGAGGCCATGGCCGTGGCGGCGGCGGAGGTTGTCACTACGGACGGAGCGGAGGGAGGCGAGGCGGCTTGGGTTTGGGAGAACCAGCGAGGGGAGGATGATGATGATGGGCCGGCGATGGCGTTGGAGTTGGGGGGCCTTCGAGGGCCGCTGGATGAAGCTGTCGACATGTTTGCGCCGAAGGGAGTAGCTTTGGTATGTATCAAGAGACTGGGCCTTCGTCTGTGTCCTCCTCTTGTTGCTTTTTACTGCTTTCAACGATTATCGATGTATCATAGCACAGCGATTTGGATGTGCTGATGTGCAGCGTCACTCCACTTCCTACACACTGGTGTACTGGGATAATGGATTTGGTGTGCGGTGCGAGAGGAGAGGCGAAAGATAGACTCGAGGCATGGACATCGAATCACACGCTTTTCTTTTGCTATCAATCCAACCCCAAAGTGTTTGACATCATGCTGCTGTGGTGGGGGTTGCATGGCAGGTCGGTAGTTGGCAAGGATCATATGCAAGGCTAATTGGTGGTACTGCTGCTTACTGTACATGCCCCTATGATATTGTATCAGCCATAGCAGCACAGCTGGATGTCTTGATACCATAAGGATGCTTTCGGGTGGTGATGATATCATCCAAATAAGTATTCCATAACTAAATGAGCTGCGTTATGATACAGGGTAGTGCGTGCGTAGAAAAGACGACACACCACAAAACCTCACCGAGGGATCTAAGAAGAGCTGCAAGCAGTAGCAAGCAACAAAGTAGCGTCACGAGAGAGTGAGCTATCACTATAAACTTCAGGTACACCAACTTTTATTGTTCTACCAAAATACATCCTAATAACCCATTTTGATCAATTTTATTGAATTCTCCTTCTTCCCAAAAAGACCCTTCACCACACAAAAGTCGAAGCGAAGAAAAAAATGTCAACGTGACAGCTAATCTAATATACACCAACACTCTGTGCTTCCCATTTCTCTATCCTCTACTAGTAAAAACTTGTTCGTCGTGGTATCGTTGCCCTAGAGTCTAGATATGTCCATCCAAAGGCAATGCTGGTATTGAAGGATCTTGTCGGGTGTTCAATGCCATCACACCAAGTATTGTCATAACAAAACCATAAACTCCAGGGCTATGCAGAAAAAAAAATGAACGTAACAGCATTCCGGCCTTCAAGCCAACATTTTGTTCCAAAGCAAGCAATAATCATTCGTGAAATCCATTCAAGTACGTGCTATGCAAGAATCCCCTTCGCCGGCCAAAACAACACGGCGAGATCCAAACGAAGAAAAAAAAAGAAAAAAAAAAGGAGAAAAAAAGGAGAAAAAAAGGAGAAGATGAGAAGCAATAAATCAGTACTGATAACTAGCTTTTTGTTTTTGGAAATCCAGGGGAGAGAAGGCTTCAAAGAGCTACTTTCCCCCCATTCATGCGAAATGGCGCGGATCCTAGTTGAACACTAGGACTGAAGGCCGAGGATGGTGTCGGTACACCATCTGATGACATGGATGAAATCGACGACAGTGAGTTGAATCCCGAGTGGCCTCTTGACATGGTGCCGGTGCGGGAGGACATGGAAATGCCAGGGTTGGCCATGAGCGTATCCGCACGATCAAACACGTTGCCTTGGAAAACTGCCGCAAATGATCCTGTCTGAGGTGTAGCAACCGTGGCTTGCATGGCCGGGCCCAGGGCTGCGCTTTGAGGCGTTATCGGAACCTGCGGCGTGGTCGGCGATAGAACGCCTGGTGGAAAAGACCCCGGGGGACCGCCGGCTGGTCTCAGGATGTAATTCCAGGGAGAGTTCATGATGATGATGGTCGTCTCCTTCATGCTCTGATGAATGGGCCGCAATCGAGCTCTAGTGTCAGGCGGCAGAGGAATGGTGTTAATCTCCGACTTGATCTTAGAAGCCATCTTTGTCCAGGCCGAGATGAAATTGCTGCATAGGCTCCAAAATCCTGCGTGAGATCGCACTCCCGGGTCCTTCAGCTTGATGAGAGACAATCGGTTCTTCAAAATCTCCGTTTGTTGGATAGCATCGTTACACATGGCAATGAGATTCTTCCAGTCCCGGATCATTGCACTCGGGGCTCGCTGTTGTATGGCGTTTCGAATGCCTCCCGTCAATTGAACATTAAAGTTGGGTAAGATGTGAAGAACGACATCTGTTGACCGTTGCAAGGCCAAATATATCTTGTCGAACTGGGCGTCTTCCTCGGAGAAATCGGAGCTGATATCGCGCCCAAATGATGATGGGAACGAATCATTAGATCTGGGCGTTGCTGATGCAAGTCTCGCAGTGCGACTGCCTGCGTTATTATACGGAACAAGTATGTCAGTGGCCACTCTGAGGTTGCTTGGGTTATGCATAATGGGACCGCTACGATTTCGAGGGGGCGCTGGCTTTTGAGGCGCGGGGACAGGCGCGGGAGCAACCGCAGCCGCCTCACGGAAGTAAGGCTTAATAGTATTGCTGTTGTCAGGGGCTTCCAAGGCGGGAAGACTATGCTTGCTGTGTTCCGTAGACACGGAAGACAGCGTGACGCGAAGCTCCATTATACTGTTATAAATCAACATCAGGAGCGTCCGAATATAACGAGCATCTCCATTGTTGACAAAAGTATCGATATTATCGGCCAGCAGTGTGCAAACATGACCATACGCCCCGACTAGGGTCTGGCAGGCGCGGTGCACATTAGCATTGTCTCCAAACGGGCCTTCTTCGTCCTCCGCTACCGCCATGTCGTGCTTCTGGATTTCCTGCTCCAGCTCTTCGACGTGAGAGTTGGTGTTGTAGAAGACAATTTCGAGACTCGAACGTTTTGCAGACCCATCATTTGTTAGGGTCATGAGCATCTGGATCATGGGGTGGATTTGGAAAACGGAATAGAGAATGCCTTTGGCGGCTTCAATCACGGGGTCGAAGATCTTGGACTCCCGACGGCGTTCGGGGAGGACGGAGAGTCTTCTTACGTAGACTGGTCGCGCGAGAGAGTCTGTAGGCGTTGCTGGGCTCTTGGATGTCGTTGCTTGCGTCCCCTGCATAGCAGAGCCATGGCTCAGCCCTCGGTAGTGACTCCATCTATTGCTGCCCTCAACCTCATCGAGCGTGCCTAAATCCGAGGGTGCCTTTTTCGCGAGTATGCCCATGCGGCGTTGACGACTACTTGATCTCTCCGAATGCATCAGAGTTTCAGAGTTGCTGCGTCCGCGCTCGTTGATGTTTCCAATCGTCAACGGCATGACGCCGGGGCGACGGGTGGTGGTGCTCTGCTGCGATAGGCCTCGATAATGTGATCGTGATGGGATGGGGGGAGGAGGCCGTGTTCCAATGCCGGGTATCCGCATGTCCGATACATCAGAGCTGCTCACTTTGATCGGGAATCGCCCGCTCGGCATGCGTCTGAGAGGCATCCGCGGAGTGTCCGTGCCCTCGCTGGATTCATCGCCAGTCGCCTCCGCGTCACGGCCGCTAATGACGTGTAACTTCATAAACTTCTTTATATGAGCTGTAATCGCCAGATCGGTCATCTCGCCCTCTCTTCCAGATCCTTCACCAGAAGGACTTGGGGATGGTATTTGCAACGCATCCCGTGGAGGAAAGCTGATAGGGTTCCCATCAAATTTGAGCACTTGGAGCGAGGTCATTTCGGCCAGGCAAACGGGCAATTCCCGGATCTGGTTCTTTGGGATCGAAAGAACTTTGAGAGACGAAAGTCGTGCAATGTCCGGTGGCAAAACTCGTAGCTGATTACGGCCGAGATCGAGGATTTCGAGAGATTTGAGCTCACAAAGCTAATGCACATGTTAGACTTGGTCCATGCAACGATGAGACAAAGTAAAGGGATATATGGGATCGCACAGGCAAGGGAAATTCTTTAATCTGGTTGCCTCTAATGTTGAGATATCGAAGCGAAACACACTCGGCGAAACGGGCGGGCAAAGACGAAAGCTGGTTGTGTGATAGAGCGAGCCTGTATTGTAACGACTAGTAGTCAGCAAACAAGACCTCTCCTTTGCTGGATGTTTTCCTTCTTGTAGGGAAGAAAAAAATCATGACTGTTGGCTGCTCACCGTTCCAGCTCGTTCTTGACTATATCAACCACCTCTTCGGGGAGCTTCTGTATGCCCTTGCGGCTCAGGTCGATGGTAACGCCCGACTTGAGGCCGGGGCCGACGTCGACAGCTTGGCTTTCATTTTCGAGGGCATGTTGCATTGCCTCGCGGGTGAGACTGATAACCTGAGCGGGCGTCAAGATGGGCGTGGGAGGCGGGTTTCCATTGGGAGACGGGCCATTCCGGCCATTGGGCAGCGGCGGAAGCGGCATCATGGGCGGCTGCTGGCCGTTCGAAGGAGCAGTGTTGAGAGGAGGACGACGTGCTTGAGATGGATTGTTATTATCGGGCATGGCCATGCCTATGCCTGTGCCCCTGAGAGCAGTGGCGGGGGGCCCAGGAGCAGCTCCAGGACTCGCGCCCATGCCAGCAGGCATTCGGTCGGGTCGCTCCATGGCGACTAACCGGGAGGTCGCTGTTCAAATCAACCGTCTATTTTCTTTTTTTTTTCTGTTCGCACACACAGACTCTCCCAGAGGGCCGGTACAGAGCACCTGTATCGGATACTCTGATTCGGCCGTTGGGAGCCTTGCAGGGCCGAGGCACTTGGGAGTAGAAAATGTTTCAAAAGCCCCCTCTCCAACCCTCGCGCCAGAAATCTGGGGAATTTTGCGATTAAGCAGATCGGGACTGCGACGAATGACCAAGCGAAGCACGTGAGATCATCATGATCAAGCCCGGCCAGGCGCCTAGAGGAGATTTTGCCGTTTTCGCCTTGCAGAAGGGATTGAAGATGAAGAGCCAGAGACACGAGGTCGCGAGAGAGAAGCCGGTCGTTGGACGTGGTTTGGACGTGAGGCTCTTGGCGGGATTGGATCGGATTGGGTTGGACTGATTGGACTGGGGCCGAAGCTGGACGGTTAGAGCCCCTGAAACACTAGCGGGTGGTTGGCGAGGACAGTGCGAGAGTCGCTGCGAGGGTGAAGCCACAGCGGCTAGGCTGGGCCAA